GTCTGTGCCCCCGGGAACAGATACAGTACAGCCGTGCGCGTAGTCAGAACAACCCGATAGAGTCCGGAGAGCGACAACACATCACATTTTAAAATAATCAGCATTTCTGCAATAAAACAGTATTTCCCTGCCTTCTGACAGCTATAGGAATCACACAACCATGCAGTGCCCATGCCCATACAAATATTAGACTAGCAACTCTGCCGAAAACTATTTGCATGACCCAAATTACCGTCTCTTGCCCAGCCCTCTTAGGGTAAATTTACTCCCAAGATCTCAGACCAGAGAAATTTTCATTTCCCATAGCCCATAGCTGTGTTCACACATTATCTCTGCTCTTAAGTTGGTCTTCTCTGCTTGATCCCTTTTCACCAGGGATTTTCTCACCACATTTTCCCTAGCACAGCTATTGCAAAAGGACGGAAAATCTGGTCATTCCAATTTCCAGAAAGAGGAGCCACATCTTAATTGTCCAAGATGGAACTGGAGCTGTTATTCAGCTTCCTTAATGACAGCAGAAAATCCAATTTTTCCTGTTAATGAGAGGGTTGGTAAGGGTTATGCAAATTGGTCCAGGTTGCTACATCAAGTTTGGTAGAGCACATTTTAATTACAAACTGATGAGCACCTTATATTTCTGTAGTTAAATGCATGCGTTGTTTTTCCTGTGTGTGTACTAGTTAGACAGACTGCATGCTTTTAATGTATAAGTGAACAGTTGATTATCCTCCGCTTATTATCCAGAACTCCAAACTTTCAGCTGTACCTTCAATAAACTACATGCATAATTCATGCTTTGTCTCTTGGGTTTTATTTCCTTCCATGGTATGACAAAAGCATAGATGTTTTCTCAAACAAAAGCCCACATGGGTGCGGTTTCTACCCAGCAAGAACTGAAGCTGTGACAAAGTTTGCAGACATTTTGTCTGCTCTCCTTGCTGTTGTGCTTTTGCATACCTTTATTCCATCCAGAAATGAGCGTGGCCACAAGGAACTCTGGAAATGCAGAGTCAACCAGGAAATGTAACCGAACACGGGATCTGCAGTTTACTCGGGATCTCTCCCAGTGTCTGGGATCTCTGGAGGCAGAACAAAAAAAGCAGTCGGACTCTTGTTTAAAGAAATTACTGGGAACCAGCTTAAGTAGTAACAAACAAACAAAAAAATCCCAAACCCCACCCCTGAAACACTCCAACAAAAGTAGGCTCATTTTGAAACAAAATAAGTATACCTTTCCAAAATATAACATCAGGCTCTTTCTTCTTTAAATACTTCCACCTTCTTTAAAACACATGAACCTACACCAACATCAGTGCGTGCAGGAATTAAATAGAAGGCCCCCATGAACCTCCCTTACAGAAAGAGGAAAACCCTGCTCCCACCAGTTGAGGTGATCGACTGCAGTTGCGGTGAGACCCTGTGTGCCATGTGGATGAGAGAGAGAGGTGCTGAGATGGGCCAAGTTATATTCATGTCCTTGGCACTTGTACTTCCCAGCTTCCCTATGACGGTGCCCTGCGAGATGGTCCCCAGTGCATGGCTGCAAAGGGCTTGCCCCAGGGAGTCCTGCATCACTGCTGGAGGCACATCTGGATCTCAGGAAAACAAGCTGCGTCCCACCTAGCAGTCGTGCCAGCTGCTTTCATCCCACTGCTCATCTGGGCAAGGCCTGGAAGCCCCTGAGTTAGCCTCAGTCTGAATCATCCTTTGGAGAAACCTGACTCTCCCCACCGTGTCTGGAAGCAGCATAGGGTGTGGGCAGGTAATTTAGCCCGTTAATATACACCGAGGATAGGATGTCATAATTTATTCCCTGACTTCCCACTCTACTTCCTAGATTTCCCTGCTGACTCACCACTTGCCTGTCCTAGCCTCCCTGTGTCTTGCTCCGCCAGCTGGGGAATAAGTTAAATAACCCTGTTTGGCTCATCTGTCCACGTCAATGTGACGGTGATGGATCCATTGCTGGTTCCCTTCAGCTGGGCTTCGCCTCCGCTGCTCTCCCATCACAAAGGCTGTGCAGAGAGTAGTGGGTTTGCACTACTTTTCCTGATGGAAAGCAAGATGGTTTAGTACATGTGATCATCAGGTGCCAGATGGCTTCAACATGCCGTAGTGCCACTGTCTGGGCCAGGGTGGGCAGTGAAATCCCCCATGGATAAGCCCTTGTGGAGAAAGCAAAATCTGGGCTTCCCTCCCAACCGGGAGAGGATGTCTTTCGACATGGTTATCTTCAGCTTTTCTGTCCCAACGCATACGATTTTTGACTGTTTCATTTGTATGTAAATAACAAGCAGAAAACACCCAGACAAAAAGCTCTCGGTGCCACAACAGCTCATTATTTATGTTGATCATCACCTACCTGCCAAACAGTAACTGCACACCAATAACCACCTGGCTCCCCAGGTACCAAAGCAGCCAAGCAGCTCTCTCATGTCTGGCTCTTTCTGGGAAAATACCTTTAATCCTCCCTGCCCTTCTCAAGCCCCAAGTATTGCAAAACCCTTGGGTTTTTTGTGGCCTGCCTGAAGATGATCATGTAGATCAGGCTGTTTTGGAAAGAAAGGCCAGGAGCAAGCTCCAGATTGAGGACTTTCTGGGGTGGTTGGGGCCCAAGCAGGCTCAGAGAACCAAAAGCTGCTGGGCATCACTCTAAACATGCATTTGCGTGGTTCCTCAGAGTCTAGCAGAGCTGATCCGAAATGCCAGAGGTGTGTGAAAGAGCCACATCTGCCTCTGGGTGTGAGCCCATGAACCCCAGCCCATCCTAGCGGCCCCCTGCACACAATAAACTAGCCAGGTACAGAAATAGTGCATTTTCACCCCAGCCTTTGCATCACTTGCATACCTTGTAGACAGTGGGCTGAAAGAAGACTGTGGGAGCCTAAAATGACAATTCCCTCTCTCTTGTTGGCAACCACACCCTTAATCCCATTATATTCATTCAGCTCTAATATCTGATCCGAACCTGTCTGTCAGCTTTGGGACAATCTGCCTTTTTTGGGGGTCATGAAAGCATGAAGACAACCTCATTTTCCCATCGCAATGGGCTTTGCATTTTATGCAAATAATCAAGGCAATATAAGTTCATGAATTTCAGCCTGGGTAGATTTATCCCAACATTTTCCAAAGAGAAGCAAGCCAATTTGTGCTAGCTGGCACTGCAATGGGAAATTTGCTTTGAGTGGCCCAACGCTCCTGTTTTGAGTCTGACTGGCAGCATTTCTGCAGGGTTAATCATGCATTTGGGCTTCCATATTCAGTAGAACGTGAAGCACCTGCTTAATTTTTCTTCCAAAGATGCCAGTGGGACTTTAGCTTGTACTTAATGGTTTTGTAGCACTCGGGCACAGGAATGTATTTCAAAGAGCATGTAGAGTCCTGTCCTGCAAATATTTAGGCATATATTGAGCTCCAGTCATGTGCACAGTGAAGGCAATGCCACCAGGATACCTAAATGCTGATAGTGAACTGAGATCTTAAATACAAAGAATAAAATTCTGTAAACATGGCAATTTGGCAAAGTCTGAGAGGCCAGAAATGCCACCACACCCTGTTGACTTTGCTTTTTCTCAAGGACTTAATACTAACAAGCAAACAGCATAGTTCCACAGAGCTGGACAAAAAAATTTTTCAGAAACATGATTGTCTTTCACTGAAAACGCTTTTTAGATCCAGATGAACATGTACTGATTGTGCCATCAGTTGGATGGAGATCACTGCAACAACCATCTCTGGGTGGGTTGGAGGTGCCCTCCAGAGATGCTAATCTCTCCAGAAAGGCAGCCTAGAAAATCTGCCAACGACTAAATACCTAATTTTAAATAGCCAAAATTTAAGTGAGATGTCACCTACATATAGTATCTCAGAGGCAAATCATGGGCCAGCACCTCATGGCACTAGGCACTGATTCAGCTCAAAAAGATAATCTCTGCCTAACAAATGCAGATAGTCAACAGGCAGACTGCTCTTTGCCTTCAGGCCAAGAAACCCCATGAAATATTTTGGTTCAGATTTAGCAATTTCAGACCCACTGCCTTCCATTCAAATGAATCTAGAGAAACGCTCCACTAAGCTCTGTAGTGATCTATTGCATCTTTTAAGCAGTGAAGAGGTTTTGCCAATATCCAGGGATACATTCCTCTTTCTCACCTATTTTGGGGGGTCTTGCATCTCTGCAAGCATACAGAGGCTTTGCACTATGGCTGAGCTCTCACTGCCAGAAATCAGGGAGTTAGATAACTCTTCTAGCTGAGCGGATTCACACCAGCTCCAATAGGTGTGTTTGAGTGCAGTCAGTGTTTAACAACTTCAATAAGACAGCTGGCTGCCTGGCATGTCAAAACCATGAAGGCACTAAATTGATCTCTTGACTTCCACGCAACCAAGCCCAGATCCCCAAAGGGATAAAAAGGCCATGCCATGCTCCCTTCCATCAGAGAGCTGCACTCTACCAGTCTGCTGCTTCTTCACTGTGCTGGGCTCTTATCTCCTGCTGCAATGAACCGCCAAACTTACAGCATGAGAGCCGGAGGTGGAGGCAAAAGTTTCACTGCTGCCTCAGCTATTATTCCAAGTGGCAACAGGGCTGGCTTTAGCTCAATGTCTATGGCACGATCTGGAGGAGGTGGAGGTGCTTTTGGAAGGCTCAGTGGAGGAGGTGGCGGCGGCGGTGGCGGCAGCGCTGCTTTCGGCAGCAGGAGCCTCTACAACCTTGGTGGTAGCAAGAGGATTTCCATTGGTGTTGGAAGCAGCTTTCGGGCTGCTTTTGGAGGTGGAGCTGGTGGTAGCTCTGGCCTGGGAAGTGGCGGTGGTGGCAGCTATGGATTTGGCAGTGGTGGAGCTGGTGGTGGTCTTGGACTTGGTCTAGGTCTTGGTGGTGGAGGTGGTGGAGGTGGAGGTGGAGGATATGGCTTTGGTGGAAGTGCTGGTGGGCTTGGTTTTGGTGGTGGACATGGAGGTGGTGGAGGCTTTGGTGGAGTAGGTGGACTGGGAGGATTCAGCGGAGGGCTGGGCGGTGGCAGAACTCCAGCGGGATTTGGTGTGGGCCCACCTGGAGTCGGTACAATCCAAGAAGTGACCATCAACCAGAGTCTTCTTGCACCCCTGAACCTGGAGATTGATCCAAATATCCAGCAGGTGCGAAAAGATGAGAAGGAGCAAATCAAGACCCTCAACAACAAATTTGCTTCTTTCATTGACAAGGTGAGATTTCATCAAGTATGTCTAACTGTGACAGAGAGTGAGTGAGGCAGTCTCCCATCTACAAAAATACGACTTGATAAATCTTCACTCTATTGCATATTTCCTACATGCATGTCTCAATTATGAAGTAATCAAAAGAGAACACATTTCTTAGTGTGTTCAGGACCAGACATTGGAAACTTTTGTAAAAGAGGATTAGATTTGGGTTTTGTGCCTGAGAAACATGGCATATTAGCTCAAATGGAGCTAGCCTATTCCAGGTCTAGACCTAGCTGCTGAAGAACTGACCTAGCTGCTGAAGAACTAACCCAGCTCTCTTTATTCAGTATCACAGCAGAGGTGATACATCCAGTTTTCTCGCTTGTGAGCTAAAGTCCTTTGCCCATTGACTCATGTTGAGTCCTCTCCTGGCTTTTACTTGGATAAACACCTTAAACAGAGTACATATGAGTAAAAGGAAGGGCAATTAAGTGCTTGTCTTTTAACCTGTAGTACTCAAATCTTAGCTTAAAGAAGGAAGATAAATATAAAGAAGGAAAAATTGAAGGATGTTAAAGAAAGCAAATGATGAAAGAGCTGAACTCACATTTTTTTTTCATGATTACTCATTAGCTTGCTGAAGTAAATTACCTCTAAATAGAACTGTCCACTGATGTCAGATTCACTTAGCTACTGGATGGGTTAACCTAGACCTAGATAATCTGGAGGATATATACAGCTGGATTCACTGGTCTTGGTTTGGGATCCCCTCAGTCGGTACTGCTCGTCAGTCTCAGGTCCTGATTCTAGTCTGTCAGCCCGCTCACAGGTACCTCACAATAAACACCTTCTGCTTCCCAATGTTCAGGTTCGCTTCTTGGAGCAGCAGAACAAGGTGCTTGAGACCAAATGGACACTCTTGCAGGAGCAGGGTCAAAAAAACAATACAGGCAAAAACAACCTGGACCCACTCTTCGAGGCTTACATCAACAACCTGAAACGGCAGCTGGCCAGCCTGCTCAACGAACGGGGACGCATGGATGGGGAGCTGAAGAACATGCAAGACCTCGTTGAGGATTTCAAGAACAAGTGAGTGCCTGTTCAACTGCACATCCAGGCACCCTAGGGTGAAACAGGATGCAAATGGTTCAGCTTAGCATTAGGCAGTAGGATTAATCTCACCTGAATTGACCTTTTTCAAGGTCAAATATCTAGTATTCGTCAAACCTCCTAAGGTAGACAGTGGAAGGAGACAAGTATCTCCAGCCCATCACAAGGTACCTAACTAATCACCCGCTAAGATACAGCTCTCATAAGGTGCCTTTCCCTGCAGAGCCCCCCTCCCAGCAGGAAAAAAGTGGTCCATCAACATTTTTCCAATCAGCAAGGGCAGTTTCAGCCAGAATAAAACAGTTTGTGATGACATTTGCAAAGGAAAATCATCTAAACAGACTGCGCTTTACCTTCCTTGTTTCATCTGCATTATGTCAACATGTCTTGTTTCAACCCCTTGAGAAAAGAGACTCACAAATTTGAGCAGGGCAGTCTCCAAGGGGTTGATTTGCAAATGCCAACCCCAGCCCAGATAATCTTGCAGTCCTACCTGTACAGCTTTTTCTCCTCACCAAGATATGACTCAGCGTGTCTTTCCTTTCATCCCTGCAGATACGAAGAGGAAATCAACCGGCGCACAGCAGCGGAGAATGAATTTGTGGTGCTTAAAAAGGTGGGTGAGATGGAAAGCGTTATGGATGCTGAGCTAATCCTACAGATCGCACTGGGGGATCAGATCCCTGGGGGATTCTTAAAGTGAGGGGCTTGGAGAAGGATGCCCCACTCTTGCCCCATGACAAACACACACACTTGCCTGGGCAAGATGCAAAGATTGTCAGCAATGCCAGGAACCCCAGGTACCAGACCAAGTTACCTGCACCCCATCCTCACCCCCTTACGAGGTTACAGAATCACTTCTTTTGGCCAAGAGATGTACTCTTGGTGCTCTTTCAGGTGGATGCGCTAAGCATGGCTTCTCCAATGAAAAGGGCAGCCCAATCTCTCAGCTTAGCCAGTTCTTGGTTGAGCCAAAGAGGAGGTTTTGGATGCTGCAGATGTCATTGTGATTGCTGTTTTCCAGGATGTGGACGCTGCCTACATGACCAAGGTAGAGCTTGAGGCCAAGGTGGATGCCCTCACCGATGAACTTAACTTCCTCCGAGCCCTCTATGATGCGGTACAGATCCTCTCCCCCGATTTCTGTCCTGCTGTCACCCCCTGGACACTGTCTGCCATCATTCACGGCATTTGAAAAGGTAAGTGCAGGAGGCCCATGACCCTGTGTGCTTCCTCCCAGGAACTGGCTCAGCTCAGTGCACAGGTGTCCGACACCGCTGTCATTCTGTCCATGGACAACAACCGGGACCTGGACCTCAGCAGCATCATAGCTGAAGTCAAATCTCAGTACGAAGACATTGCTAACAGGAGCCGGGCAGAGGCTGAGGCTTGGTACCAAAACAAGGTGGGTAACTAGCATGATAAACAGGGCTGGAAGGGAGATCATCCTGCCTACCTGGACATCTTATACCGTTCACTCTTCCTTCTGAACTTCAGTTTGAAGAGCTGCAGGCCACCGCTGGGAAGCATGGAGAGGACCTGCGCAACACAAAGGGAGAAATCTCAGAGCTCAGCCGGCTGATCCAACGAATCCGGTCAGAGATAGAGAACGTGAGGAACCAGGTAGGACTGGCAGAAAGAGCCCACGGAGCCCCATCCTGCAGTCCCTTAGTACCACAGCTCTGCTCTTTGCCACCACCTTGCTCTTCAGGGACTTCAGCAGCTCTAGACTGTGACATGCCTCATTAGATGTGTTGAACTTCCTCCAGAAAGGGGTACCACTCCGTATCCTCAGCCCATATATCATATCACTCTTTCTAGGCTGGCATTTCTACTCCAGCAGTGTTGTGTAGGCTGCAGAGTTAGCTATGGATTAACGATCTTAGTCAGAACCATTGTTCATTAACACCTGGGCCAGAATGGTTTTATTCTTTGGGTAATTCTTGCACACAAAGAAAAGCAGCAATTAGGAGGAGTCCCATTTCCTCCCCTTGCAGTGCGCCACCCTGCAGACGGCCATCGGAGACTCCGAGGAGCGTGGGGAGCTGGCCCTCAAGGATGCCAAGGCTAAGATGATGGAGCTGGAAGACGCCCTGCAAAAAGCCAAAGCTGACATGGCCCGGCAGCTCCGTGAGTACCAAGAGCTCATGAACATCAAGCTGGCCCTGGACATCGAGATTGCTACCTACAGGAAGCTGCTGGAGGGAGAGGAGAGCAGGTGGGAAAAAAATCCCTGTAGCAATAATAAGAGAGACAATTGCATTCTCTCCCTGCAAGCAGGTTGGTCTCCCCCCGTCTCCTTCATTCGCACTAACCTTGCCTTTTTCTGCCCTCCAACAGACTGAGCGGAGAAGGACTGAACCCCATTAGCTACTGTAAGTATCGCAGTTCTTCTTTTATCTCGGGTCCATTGGGAATAGAGTCTGCAGGCAACCTTGGGAAAAGGCAGATTTGGGCCAGTTCCTCCAGAAAAAACATTCAGAACCTACCACAAGCATTAGCGGCTTATATAGCGGATAGAAGTCAGATTAAATTCCCATGGGTCTGGGACCTGATTATGCTGCTTTCTGGAATGGGGTGATTGCCACAGCAGATGTCCGACTCTCTGGTTGTTTTTCTTACAGCTGTGATCAGCTCCAGCTCTGGAATGGCTGGCGGAGGAGGAGGATTTGGTGGGCTGAGCCTAAGTGGAGGAGGCGGCGGAAGCGGTTTAGGTCTCGGAGGAGGCGGCGGAAGCGGTTTTGGTCTCGGAGGAGGCGCTGGTGGTGGAAACTACAGCTTTGGAAGCGGAGGAGGACTTGGTCTCGGAGGTGGCAGTGGCCTCGGAGGTGGATATGGAGGAGGCAGTGCTCTTGGCCTGGGAGGAGGCAGCAGTCTTGGCATCGCAAGTGGTCATGGCTATGGAGGAGGAGGAGGTGGCAGCGGGCTGAGCACTGGAGGAGGGAATTTCAGCTCTGGAAGTGCAAAAGGCACCAACCCAGGTGTGAAAATCGTCTCCAAAACCTCCTCCAGCAAAAAAAGCATAAAAAGCCAAAGCCTGAAGAATGCTGTGCAGCCCGAGTAAAACCAGCATGAGACCCTCCACAGAACCAGCACTCCTGCATCGCTTCTGCCCGTCACCATCCCTTGCCTGTCCCTGGTCCTGCTCTTTGCACCGTAGTTGTTAAGCATTTGGGTCCTGATGCAGGAAAAGCAGTGGAGCACACGCTAAGCAGATTTCTCAAAGGACCTGAAACAGGTTTAAAAGGAAAACACAGGCCTGAGTGATTTTTCTGAATGGGGAACGGGAGGGTTTGAGGATTGCTTTATTTTTTTTTTTAAATTGAGGCTGAGCAGCTTTTTTGTAGTTGCAGCTAGCTGACTGACATCAGCTAACGCAGATCAAATAGCTGTAAAGATGCAATAACTCGGGGGGTTAGCTCAGTTTAGCATTTGCAGTTCTGGTCTACAGAAGCCCAGGGATGGGCTGAGAACTTTGCTTTAATCCAGCCTGCTTAGTCTTCACTGCTGGGATGATCCAAACTCATTTCTTCAAGTTAAGCAACCTGTCTTTATCATACACACGGGGTTTTTTCTGCTATGTAGAAATACCTTGGGAGGTTGCTGAAAGAACCAAGGCATCGGTTTGCAAGCGCAGAGCCCCTCTTAAAATATCCCTTATTGTGGGAGCATAAAACCCATTAGGGGTCACTTCAAAGTACCTTGAGTGCAGTGGAAAAACCCTCTCTTCCCCATCCACAGCCGAGCTTCTAAAAATACATTTCCTCTAGATGTACCGAGCAACTGCAACTGTCTTTGAAGTCAGGCAGAATTCAGCATCCACACAAGCCTGGCCACTGATTCAGAGCGTAGCGTTAGGAAAGTGATCTGAGATAACTGCATCTGAAAAGCACCACCTAGAGGCATGCAGCTTAAACTTGCAAACAGCTTATCTAAAAAGAACTGCAAACTACACTCATATTCCTTTGCTTTCTCTTCTTAAATGAAAGTTTGCCCCATAGTGGCATCCGTTCAAAACTCAAAATGCAGGCAAACACTTCATGCACCAAACAGCTTGCAGGTAACCTTGCGGGTGTGTTTTGTCAGAAGAGCCACATACAACTGATCCAAACCATTTGGAAAAGGGCTTGCTCTATGAATTATCTTTTTTTTTTTCATAATAACTGGGGCAGAACATTAGTGTTTGGAGTCAAACTGGGTTGTTGTTGTCTCATGGCAAGGTTTTGTGGGAATGGCTTAAAAAGTGCAAAAATCATCCAACAGCCTAGGTCTCTTTGACTTTCCCCTCTGTGCTGGTAGCAGCAATGGAGGCAAAAGTCCACTCTAGTGAAAATTGCTCTGAACAAACTGCCTGAAGGGCCATGTCCATACTTCTCCTGGGGGTATTTCAGCTTCTTCACTGCGGGGGGGTTTTCTTGTCAAAAGAAATGCATTTGGTAAGCTGAGAAGTGTAGTCGTGTTTCAGTTCAGCTCTTGGGAAATACGGCAACCGGGAGCAGGAGCCCAGGGGCACACCACTGCAAGAATAAAACTCTATTTTCCCATTTTTTTAATGCTGCATTTACCCCTCTAGCATACCACTGTGTCTTTTTATTTTTGTGAAAGTACCATTAAAAAAAAATTGTGGCTTTTTATACTTCAATGATACTGAAATGACGCCGTGTTTCCTTTCCTTTCTCTTTTTGGAGCGTGTCCAGTAAAAGTGGATTATAATTTATTTGTTCTTGATTCTTTTTACTCTAAAGCAGAATCAGTAGCAAGAAATATTCTCTGATCTTCAGCAGAGTGGCGTGAAGTGAACTGGAGGAGGCTTTCATTTTACTTTGGGGAAAAAGTTTCAAAATTCTGAAAAAAGTAATGAGAAGCTCAAAATTGGTTGTGTGCTGTCCCAAAACAAGTTGAGGAGCGGGCAAAAAGAGGAGGAGGCGGCGGGGGCCGCTCTTCTGTTAAGCGACAACAAAATTAATCACAGTTCATTTCTTAGCATATGCTAGGGGCTAATCCAAAAAGTCTTTCTTCCAAGGCAGGGAGCATTTTGGCCAGCTTTACTAGCTAGGGCAAAAACCAGATTTTCTTAAAAAGGCAAAGCAAAACCAAGCCTTTACAGGGCTCTGGGGGAGGCTTACATCAGCATGATTTAGATTCAGGTTGGGTTTTGGTAAGCCAGAGCCGAGCATCTCACCAAAGGATGCAGGCACTCCTGTCAGCTGTCATAGCCAAACAAACACCCCCAAAACCCTCAGACAAACATTCACACCTTATTGCATTTCAAAGAGTCAGATGCTTCCCTCTTCCTTGACCTCCTAACATCCCGGCTTTACATAACGCAGAGCAGCAAATGGGAAAGAGCAAGCAAGCACATGCTAACCGAGCAGGTTTGCAACGTACGTTCACAGCTTCCTCTGCTGAGACCCAGCTGCGCCGACACACGAGAGCCTCAGATCTACCTTCAGCCAGCAAATGAAAGGAGCAGCAGTAAAACAGACCAAAGGCTGGGGACAGAAATGCTCTCCTTGGCCCCTGCTGCCACAGCAGATATTGCAGACGGACAAGCCAAAAATTAGTGACTGTTAAAAATAAGCTGAGTCATCCTGATTTCTTGCACTCGCCTAGGCTAGTGCTGTTTTACACAGGTGTGAGGTATTAATATAGATAACGACGGCCTAACCTTAATCAACCTTGTAAGTTTTGAATGTCTTTCTGCCAGACTAGCATGAAAAAAAACAAGTAACAGGGTCCAAAAGAGCAGTGGAGGTGCTTACAGGCAGCTGAGCTCCTGCAAGCACCGTAACTCTCTCAGCTTGCCCTGTACCTCCTCCCTTGCTCTGCGGAGCTTAGAGACACTGCAAAACTTTTCCTTGTTTCTGTGCCATCTTTCACTTTACTCTTCAAAACCCTTTGTAATACTCCACTTAATTACCATTGTCTGCAGCAACAGCCTTTCCTAGAAGAGCTGGGGAGCTAATGAGCACCTTGAACGTGAATCCTTTTCCACTGCTGTAATTAAAACATTTGCAGCCTGCGCTCAGATTCCCAGGTGTGACTTTGCATAGTTCTTTGGAAGTCAAAGGCAGATCCCCTGTCGGTGGTGCCTGGCCCTGTTCCCCTGGATTTGGCATGCAGGTGCCAATCCACATCTGCGGAGGACCGGCAGCTTTAAAACAACAAATCTCCATACATCTGCCATGCTTGTGACAGAGTTTACTTAGTTTTAGCATCAACATAAACTCAGTAGCATTTATGGAATTACTTCTGATTTGACTCTATTACTGAAGTTACCTGCCTCTGTATAGCAGACACGAAATCAGGGCTCGCTGTCAGCCACAGCAGCTTCTGGACTGGTCAGGCAAGCGTGGGTGCAATTTTCCCGTGAAACTTCACATTTCCAGCACGTTCCCACGTCTCCACTCCCGAGGTGAGAGCACCCCCTTGCTACCGCTGAGATGTCTCCGTTGCAGCAAGGCGAGCACGTTGCAACATCGGGCCCAACCATCAGCTTCCTGATAGCTCGGCTGAATACGCTTCAGGTGCTCGTGACTCACCCAAAACAGAGATGGGCATGCTGGAAGGGAAGGATATTTGCGAATACTCCCCTTGATGACTGCAGTAAGGGGAAGGAGGAAAAAAAAAAAACAAAACCTCTTCCTCACGTTCTTTCAAGTTCCCAGACACAAAAAACCGACAGTTGGAAACACATCAACAGAAACAAGCTATGCGATGCTGCAGATACCCTTAAGCCGCTAATTTTGGATTAAGCTCCTGCACTTATTGCTCACGTATCCAATTCTGCAAGAATCCTTTTGATTTCGTTGATCTGGCTTTCCTCTCTGTGCCTCACGCCATTATCTTAGCTGACAAGTAACCTGCCGGAGGTCAGCAGCCCTCGTCGCACGAGGATGTGGCTGGGCAGAGTCTGGCACACGGTTTGCAGATGTTTTTTGGGTGGGAGGGAGGGGACATCTTCTCTTATAACCTGTGTCAAGTTCTTCATGCACGCAAGAGAAGAGGGTCTCAGCTCTTCTACCTGAAGCATGATATAGCCCCACTGCAGGGGCTGAAGTGCCTGGGAGATGGTTCACCCAAAAGCTCAAGATAAAGGGGCCAACGTTACTTTCAAAAACCTTCTGATTGAACTATCTCAGGAGGGGTGGGAGGAAGCTAAAACAAACACTGGCGAATTTCCCTGTACAGCACATCTCAAAGCCAGCGATGACGTGGAAACTGCATGGTAGAGGGGAAATATAGAGGGGGGAGGGGGGAGAAGAGCCACACAAATTTGATTTCTTATGGAGCTTTTGAACACCACGCCAGACGAAAAGCAATCCTTTCAATCATCGCTTTAATATTTTGTAAGGCATGCGACTTAGCGTAATTTAGAGTTATTTGGAAAGGCGATTCCCTTGCTGTCACTGAAAGCTACGCTAATCAATTTCACGTTTCCTGTTTCTCCTGCGATGAGGGAAGATACTTTTTTTGGTAAGATCTCCGAAAATACTGCCACGAGACAACTGTCACTCAGCTCCTGGCTGCAAGTCCACCTCGTGATCGTTTAGAGCCTTTTTCCAAAATAAATCCAAAGACCCGCTCTGAGAAGCAATTACCTTTCGCTTCAGATTATCGAAGCTGACTACAGTACGTGCGCATCCAGTCCCAGACCAGGTGGCCTTGGAAACGTCAGCCCCTATTTATGCAGATATCCCATCCTGCCCTTTTAGCTGCCCAATGTTTTAAACCCTAAACCTAACCTTGCAAAGACTTTGGTGCAAGGAACTCAAATGAGTGAGCCCACAGAAGTTATTCCCCTTGCTCCTGTAAGGAAAAGCAGCTCCCAGGGTCTCGGCAGAGTCAAGTTGCATCCTGCTCCAGAGCGCGGACCGCAGTGAGTCGTCCCATTCAATTTTAATTTCATGACTCAGAGCAGCAGGCTTTGGCAGGAGGGGAGCTCTATCACTCCGTTACTTTCTTGCCTGCAAACAATGCATTTTTCAGCGCCTTGCTGTAGCCTAGGTGTGTTTGACAAGGCAAGTTGCTGCAAGGCACGTCAAGTTCTGAATTCCCGTGCCA